GTAGTGGTGGTAGTCGTAGTAGTCGTAGTGGTAGTGGTAGTGGTAGTGGTAGTGGTAGTGGTAGTGGTAGTGGTATTATTATTATTTTTAGTAGTAGTAGTAGTAGTAGTAGTAGGAGTAGGAGGAGGAGTAGTAGTAGTAGTAGTAGTAGTAGTTGTAGTTGTAGTAGTAGTAGTAGTAGTAGTAGTAGTAGTACTAGTAGTAGTAGCATTAGCAGCATCAGCAGTTAGTAGAGGAAGAACAAGCGTAGCAAGAATGGTGTCAACATGCCAACAGGTAGTAACCTTTAGCAACAAACTGATGGGTAGTTCTAGTCATGGTAGTAGCCAGAATTGGTGTCAGAATTATTCTGCAAATTGCGCTGATCATGCGTGCCGGGGGTTACCACACGTACTCGTAGCGGCAGCTGCGTAGCAGGAGTTGGGATTTGGGATAGTGTGCTGCGATATCATGTCCGGCAACTAAGGCAAAGTCGCAACATCACATCAGCAAAATCCATCAACTTGGTGAGTGAATCCATCATGCGTCGCGGTTGGAGCTCTCAGTGTCGTTCAAGTCGAATTCACAGAGAATATGCCACTGTTTCAATGATTGGATAAAGTTGTGGCCTGCCTTCCTGCTTGCGGAGGAGAGCAGCCGGCGATACCCGGAATGCCGTTTCGAACTGCTCGACTGTTTCAAAGAGCCTGCACCACTAAGATTGCTTTGTGCGGAGAGCCTCGGCATTTTCGTGAGATTCTGCGCGATGCCTTTGGCTCTTGTGTTAATCACTTTGATAATGCCCTCAGGATACAGCAAGGCTCGAGCAATTTCAAGCTGTTTGTCGACATTGGCGGCGACCGCCTGACGAATGGCGTGTGCCAGGCCCTTGTTGTGCTGGAGTCTTTGTGGCGCGGGCCGGGGTCGGAGCTCAAGCAGCCTTCTCTTGTAGTTGTCAAGAGTGAAGGCTTGTCTGAAGCGGCTGCGGTGGCATGTGATTCTCAGAGCTCGATCTGCAACATTGCTAATTGGTGGCAGACCTCCGCCAGACCACACGGTAGTAACCCGGTAGTAGAAGACAGCGCAAGAAGCAATCGCACACCACCGAGATGTTGAAACAGATGCCTGCTTGTCCATAACGGATGGGCCAGTGTTCTGGCCCCTTCCTGCTGCATTCAGTGTCAGTATCAGGTTTTTCCGTTGATCCATTGTCACTAGCATGTTTGCCGTTACTGTGGTGCTTCATGCCCACCATTGCTTCATGGTGACATTATGAACATGATAGTAGTATTGACGATGTTGGCGATGGTCACCGTCTTCATCTTACACGGTAGTGATAGTGCTCATGACGATTTTGATGAGGATGTTCACTATAACCATTATGACGCTGTCGAAGCAGCAGCTGCTGCTGCTGCTGCTGGCGTTGCCGGCGGTGAGGTTGTTGTTGTTGCTGGTCGTGACGTCGTTACGATGGCGGTGATCGTGTTGCCTCGTGCTGTTGTTGCTTTTGCAATACAGAAGCCAATCTCAATGCAACGGTTTTGAGAGTTGTTCTGGGTGGGGTCAGGACGGCGACCCGGGCAGGTCTGTCCAAGATTTCAACGGCAGACTTACAAGCTTGCACTTGGCTGCCGCGAAGCACAGCTGCATGTAGGCTTACGATTCAGCCGACATTTCAGCATACAAGCCATCGGCGCGAAGTGCAGCCTTTGCTAGTAGGCTGCAGAACCTCAGAAGTGGAGGCAGCGCCGACCCACACAATAAAGTTCTTTTGTACAGTTACCGCCCTGGAATGTGGGAGGCCGAGTTTATCCCTGCAGCTGCACGATAGCTTGGAGCCGGTGGGTTTCATGGGATTGAAAGGAAACCGCTGTGGCACTGTGGAGCGAAGATCAAACAAACAGTCCTGCGCCCCTGCACCTGGTTCGTCGCCTTGTTATGGGCTGTCCTGAGCCATCAGTCTCCAAGAGCTGGATGCTGCCCCCACTCAGTAACAGTTGAATAGTATTCATATTACAGATACATAGGGCCCTTGAAGTAGCCCTAAAAATGAACCGTTACTGTACGGGGGCCCCAAAGCAAGAGCCTCATGAAACTGCGGCTCTCCAGGTGGAGACTAGGCAATACTTCAGGCCTCCCTGTTCCGATCATGGCATCCGCAGAGTGCTTTCTCGGCCTAAGCAAGCGCAGTGAGAAACGAATGCCAACAACGGAGACGGGCCGTGGCTACTTCGTTGCTCTGAACGTTGCAGAGATCCAATCCGTGCACGTTGCTTCGCAAGCAACGGCCACGGTCCCGTGTCTTTCCTTGGCAGGACTTTCCTTAAAGTTCATGCTTCTTTAACGCGGTGCTTGCGGTCATTCCGGTGTACCTTACTTGTGGCCTTTGGAAGCTGGAGAACTCTTAGCGTCTTAGCACAAGAGCTGTACTGCAAAAATAGATACCCCAAAATCCCAAACCCTCAATCCTCAACTCTAAACCCTCAACCCTCAACCCTGAACCCTAAACTCGAAGCCTTAAACCTCGAACCCTAAACACCAAACCCGAGTGCTAGCTGAGGTCTATGAGGGTGCCTGCCCCGAGCCCTGGCTCCGCAGTCGAGTGGCCGAGATCGTGGAGGCCAACCCTTGGCTCGCCGGGCGCTTGAAGAGGGACCCTGAAAGCGGGAGGCTGGGTTTAGGGTTTAGGGATGGAGGGTTGAGAATTTAGGGTTTTGAGGGTTGAGAGTTTTAGGGTTAGGGATCGGGGTTGAGGGTCTAGTGTCAGGGATTGAGGGTTTAGGGTTTAGGACTTGAGTGTTGCGGGTGTAGGGTTAAGGACATTGAGGGTTGAGAGCTTCTGATCACTCGGGGTTTGCGGAGGCTCTCGGCTATTGAGGTCAAGGGTTTAGGGTTGTGGGACGGGGTTTAAGGGCTTGGGGTTCAGTGGCAGGCTGGCACTGTGGATTCAAGGCAAGATTGACTTTCAGAAGTTGCTGGAAGTTGTAGCCGTATCCGACACAGCCGCCGTCGTGGGGAATTGCTCAAAGCACTTCTTTGTAAAGTCTGGATGCGAGCTGGTGGACGCCGATGAGCCCATCTGCAGGTTCGTGGTCTTGACCGAGCCGACAGGAAAAAGATGGGGTTTGCAAGTGTCCATGTCTCACATGCTGACGGATGGCCATACCTTCTACGCTATCTACAGCATGCTGGACAGCAATGCCGAGGTATGGTCCATGGAGGTGACTAGAGTCAAGTTCGATCCCATGAGATGTTTGCATGCCCCATTCCATGGAAAATGGTTATTCTTCGTGTTGCAGCACCTTCGAAGTCAGCTTGGATGGAAGCGCGCATCCCACATGCCGATCGTCCAGTGTCGGTATGTGCGGGACGACTGGGTTCAGAAGCAGAAGGCGGCCTTCCAAGCACAAGCAGATGTTGCGTTCGTGTCCTCAAATGACTTGTTGACATCATGGTTCTTGAAGGCCACACAGCCATCATGTGCTGCATTACTCCTCAACATGCGAAACAGAATGCAGGGGCTTGAGGACAAGCATGCGGAATGCTATGCGTCAATGTTGCTTTTCTTTCCGGAAGAGTACAAGTCGCCCGCCAACATCCGCCGCGCCATTGCTCGCCAGTCGCCGGCTTGCACTCCCTCTGGGCAGCAACAGTGGCCCGGAAGGGGCAGCAAAGTTGGCATGGTCACATCCTGGCACATGCTTTATCACGATGTCGCCTTCGATGGTTGCAAGCAACTTACGCACTTTCCATGTGGGCCAAGGAATCTGGCGGTGAGCCCTCAGGTGCCCTTTGCCGCCATCTTTGCGCCGTCTGAAGGCAGCCTTGCGATGTTGACCATGACTGAGAAAGAGCTTCCCTTGGGTGTGCTTGGGGATGCAGTTTGGGGCAGTGATGCCTTGTTCCGGGACTGGTGAAGCTGAAAGTTTCTGGCTTCACAGTGCATTGCAGTGCGATGCCGTAGTCGCGATTGAATTCACTCTGCTTTTGTAGATGACAAGGATAAAAATTATGATTGATTCTCGCTGCAGCAGTCTGCCAGGGTTTATCGTCATCAGGCGTTGCTAGTAAGGCTGTGTTGTTGTAGTATTGCCGGGCTTCCTACTGACCGCAGGTTCCAGAGCGAGTGTGCAGTTTTGTGCAATGAGCTTGTCAGTAATGTCACAGCATAGTCTGTGCTGCTGGCAATGACTTCTGCGTCAACAGCACGCAGATACATGCTTATGACAGCAGCGGCCGCATCTCTCAAGGCACAAAGGTGCAGTCTCTAAACCCTGAGCCCCACGACGGTTCCTGGTCCTTTTGCCTGTTGGTTCACATACATTTTGCGTTTGGCTCATGCCGGTTTGCAGATATAGGACGGCTTGTAGAAGCCTGCGGCTGTTCACCGCCCAATCCCGACTGAGAGAAACACCAGACAGATGCGGCGACATCGTGGATTGAGTTGGTGCCGAATGCAAGTAGTTGGACCTTCTTGGAATAATCCGAATCAAGATTTTGCGCGTCGATTGTACAGTACCTTCATGACCATGCCGCCCTGTTCTACTGGCAACGGCTGAGCCTCTGAGCCTCCACCCCGACCTTGAAATCCAAAACCCGAGCGTCGGACTCCCCAAACCCCCTTTGCCATTCAGATCGAGGCCCGAAGAACGACGGCAAACGCTGTGCTGCCAGAAAACCCACCTACTGTAGGCCAAGAGTCAGCGGGACAGCAGTTGACGCTGTTAACATCCACTCCAAACTCTAAACCCAAGAGACCGGAACCTGTTCAAAGCCCGGAGGGAAGGTACTGGTAGCGCATTTCGCTGCCCGGTGGAGCGACACTGCAACCGGGGGCCCGCTTTCGCGGAGAAGTCACATCCCAGTTGAGGTGTTTACGGTGTTCACCAAGAGATCATCCTGAAACCTCGTCCATAAAATTCCCACGGCCATCAGGGGCACAGGCACAGGCACAGCCTGCGCGGTAGTCGCGCAGCCATGCCCGCAGTGAACTCCCGGGATTTGGGGCGGGCTGCTGCGGCGACATGTCTGACAGCGGGCGCTCTGCTGGCGATTCAGGTGATCAGAGCCCCGGCGTCCTAGTGGGGATTCAGAAAGGGTCCCCTAAACCCTAAACCCTAGACCCAAATGGTTATTCTGGCTCTGACCTTCTTTTGGGTTCCTCGGGTTGCTGAGGTTTTTTGATCCTCCCAGTCTGCCCTGGCCCGTCTTGGGGGCTCTTGTCCTCTCCTAGAAGATTGACTTCATCCTACGACTTGGACCCCAAAGCGAATTGGCATGACCCAAAACCCTCCTCCGAAACCTAAACCGAAAAGCTCCCAAACCCTTTGGTTTCGCCCTCAACATCCCCAAGCTCCAGGAATCAAGCGACGTCGTGGGCCCAAGGACTTCAAGGACTACGTGCCCCTGGAGTCTTCCCGGGCCGAGGGTGAGGACTGCACCCGGGACCGCTTCTCGCAGAAGAAGCTCCCGAAGAGCATCGATGTGGTGGTGGTGGGCTCAGGGATCGGAGGCCGAAGTGTCAGCTTTGCTTCAATTTTAACGGGTTTGATTCTGGTTCTACAGTTCTAGAGGTTGTTTGCAGGGGTTTTGAAGGTGGTTCATGAGTTCCGGATGGTTTTGGGAGTTGAGGGAATGGGGCGTTGGGGTTCAGGGCTTCGGGGTGCGGGGGGTGCCGGGTTTGGATTTCCTTTTGGGGATTGTGGTTGACTTAGGGCCTCGAGCATCTTCGCGAATTTGTTGCAGCAGCTTTCTGTATCCCCATTGATGGTAGCTCTTTGTTCGTCTTTAGCATGATCATAAGCAACCAGCTTTTGTAGCAATGTATGTTTGCGTTGCTTTCATGTTTTGACGATTATTGACAAGCGCAATAACATGGTTGTCATCTGTGTAGTTGTTGTAGCTACCATTGAACACAGTTGCCGTTGTTTTCTCTTTTGTCATTTTCACCGTAGTAAGTGCTTGTGGAAGCCCCATGCCTGGTCATTGCTAATCCCTAACCTGTATGCTGCCCTCATCTTTCCAAACCCTGATAATTCTACCCAAACGCTAAATCCGAAACCTGAAACCCACCCCGAGCCCTGAAGTTCACGACCCCTGAGCCCCAAACCCTGAAGCCCTTGCAGGTCTGTACCTGGCTGCCCTGCTGGCAAAGTCTGGCCGAGCGGTGCTGGTCTTGGAGCAGCGCCTCTTCGAGAACACGCTTCTGCCAGGAAGACCCTGGAAGTTCGGGGTGTTTAGGGGCTGCGGGGTGTTTAGGGCTTCAGGCTTATGGTCTCAACCTCAAGGTTGGCTGAAGCTTTCCTGTAGTTATGCCAGATGCCCGAAACTCTGAGCCCTTCGTACCCGGAGCTCTGAGACCCCGCGCCGAAGGCATTACGTCGCTGGCGGCTGCACGCACGAGTTTACGGACAAAGGGTGGACCTTCGACACAGGCACCCGTGGGCATAGCCGCCAAAGTCGCTAGAACTCTCGATTCTCGCGTCTTTCTTTGTGTGTGTGTGTGTATAATATTTATCTATATAGATAGATAGATAGATAGATAGATAACGAATACGGCAAAATGGGCCCTGAGGGCGACGCTTTCTGTAATAATAACGATACTAGCAATTTTTTCAGGGGTTCAGGATGTAGGGCTTTCGGCCGGCAACTCCGAAATCCCAAGAAACCTCAGCTCCAAATGACAGCAGGAGTAGAAACTTCGCTACCGGCACCTGCCCAGCAAAGACTCCTGATGTGGCAGCTGCTCTATGAATCAAGACCACCGCCGAACTCGTTAGAACTATCACTCCAGGAAAAAAATAGTACCTATAGTCTCCATTG